CAATATTTGCGATATTTGCGTCGATAAAGAACGCAAATATCTACGGCTATCATAAGGTAGTGTGATTATGCATGACACGAAGTATTTGCTAGTCTAGTACTGGAGAAATTAGCGTTTGGATGCGCATTGTGAGCCTTTAAGATTATTTAAATATATATAAGAAATGATTTGTTTGACAACAGAAGATGTGAACACAATGTCGGCTTTTGTCAAACAAACCCATTTCATATGTTATTTATTTGCATTTCACTTTTTCTAAATTTCCACCTTTGTATATATATATATATTATATATATATATTTATTTATTTATTTATATAATCATTTATTTAATTATTTAAATATACATAGTATCTAATTAAATGTTTGCTAGTCGATTCATTAGCGCAAATCATAGCACGCAGTTACTTCCATCCTGTGTGCCCACCTTAGCTAGGCACATAGCAGCCTCCATCCTGACCCTATAGAAGCACTGGTCATTCTCTATCGTGTCGGTGAGAGCTAACCGGGTCTGCGGTGTGGCGTACTGTGCGAGGCTATAGATGGCAGCAGTCTGCGCCGTCACGTCCCTGCGAAAGCGCAAGTAGCAAACAAGTGGCTAACAGAGCAAGGGGTGAAAATGGCCGCACGCGCGAACTCGACATATCGCATCGCCCATAACAGCAGGATTGGCGTGAATCGAGATGGCGTCAGTAATCTAAAACACATTGTCACTAAATGGTTACAACATCGCTAGTCTCTTAACCTTTGCACACGAAGTGTTGTGAAAGTGTAATGACATTTTACACCGACTGATGAGCTTGTAACCGTTTCTATCTATAGTCACAAGCATTCGTGATGTTTTCTACAACAGGCTCCTAGACTGTACTGCTCAGTATGGGACAGTGAGAAGTAGCCGAGATGGGCAGTGCTAGTATTAAGTGAGAGTGGAACAAGGAATCGCTATACTTTGATATATGCATATTACTAGGGGTGAACATCGACAAATAATTCGTTATTCACCCCTGATATACGATATATATATATATATATATGCTAATAAAGTTAATCTCAGTTAGATCCATAATAAGTACAAAATAAGTTACTCTGACGAAATTTTCGTCCATCTCTCCGACAGACTACCTCAAGTAGGAATAACAGCAGGACTTAGACCTGGGAAAGTCTGTCAGAGAGATGGACGAAAATTTCGTCAGAGTAAGTTATTTTGTACTTATTATGGATCTAACTGAGATTAACTTTATTAGCATGTAAATTATAGAGATCCGATGAAGTTATTTAATCACATATATATATATATG